TGCTTCTTCTCCATGAGGATGTCTTTAAGAAAATCCAGGTGGTTCATGAGAACTTCATACAGCAATACTTAAACTGAGGTGGTCTTTGAGAAAGACTGGGTGGTTGGTGGGAACCTCTTTCACATCAAAAATCAGTGTACAGGGTAGTTCGTGTGCACATAAGCCATGTGAGCAGGATATTTCATGTGTACGAAAGCCATAAAGGTTAGACCCGGAGGATCCGGGCTTCGACTAGTTTTACCTATTCCACGCAGGAGTCCCATTAAAAAAGACAATTTTATAGTCTGTGGGCCGAATTGCGCATCGCAGTAATTCAATGAGAGTGCAGAGGCAGACCACTTTCGCAGGCAGCCGCGCCCCGTTGTCGATCGGACACCCGAACGCTCATCGGGCCCATAACGATCGGTGGAGGACAAAATAGCGAGGCAGAGGATGGGGGAAGGGGAAAAGGAGAGCGAGTCCAACGGATCGGGCGTGAGAAGGCGCCGAGTTGACGGCCATCACGGACCCGATCGTTACCGACAGATGAGGTCGTTGCAGGTGGGAGTCGTCTTCCCAGGGATCGGAGGTCTCGCCCTTTCTCACCTGCAACTTTCCGTAACGTTTAGAAGCACCACAGAAGATTCTCGTGTGTAATTATGATTCCCAGGCTGAGTTTCTTGGAAGGAAAATAACCAGTGGGGCTAAATTGAGCTAATCGGCCTTAAATTAAGGCCTGAATACTCACCCGAGTGCTGAGAGGTTCATATGGCATCTATGCCGCTTTACAGTTTGGAAAATCGGGGGGAATAACTAGGTCGCACTCGTTCATTCATGAAGATGCAGTTTTTCCGAATTCATTCCCATGCAGCCTCTAAAATAAATTTTTTCCCTTCCGCTCGCGGGACCTGGAATGAAATCGCGGTGGAATAGGAACTCATTTAAAACCAAAGTCGTACTCATGTGATTCCCGAGGCAAACGGTAATGATCTACTGGCAAGTACTGGCCTGTAATAGCAGCATGAAGGTGACCGTTGGGTATTGCCGTCTCTTAACATAAGGAAGCATGTCACACTATTACATTTCTTATTATAATTACTCTTGTTCAACGGCGGAATTCGAGGTTAGACTCTATCCCGTGCTAACGCATTGCTGTTAAAATGAAACTCGGCATTCGGAATCCCGTGCGATGTGTCCTACGTGCGAAGAGGACCCGCTGGGCCGAATGGAGAAGTATCGAGAGACCTGGCCATGCGAAAACGAGGTCGCATTCTCCCGGGCATCAGCAGTTTGTTGGGGGAAGAGGGGAAGGGGGGGGGGGGAGTAACGCGGTCGACTAGCCAGAAATTTTCCAGGAAATTCCCAACTCTCATCCCTCCACTATCGATGAACTTTGCATAAGTAAATACTATGGGAAGAAGATATTTGCCCTAACCCCTCCGGATCGAAATTCCTCTTTATAATTGTTGCAAGGGACCTCGAGCAAGGCCCACGGAGCCGATTGCTGCGTCTATCTGTGGCCATCATCCGAGGTCAAAAGGTAACGATTTCTATGCCTCTCTTTAAAAATTGTTATATCCCAAACCCTTGGTAGCATAAACGTCAAATTTCCCCCATCCTGTGAAACATAAAATGAAAATTATAAGCACATGCTTTTGAAAATTGTCGTTCTCGACACGCCACTGCGCAATAACTGGGAATCTTTCCTTCGCAGATACTCTTTTTCCCTCGCGAAAACCTCATAGAAACTTCAAATGGACAAAACCCATGGTTCGGCTTTTGAATGTCTTCCTCATCCACCTTGATGCAGAGCAGTGCATCGCTTCCTCCAGCTGTTCGCCCTTTAAGTTCCATGATCCGCGAAGTGGACAAGTATTACTCAATAACTAGGCTGAATTTAAGAAATTTCTGTTACATATCTCTTGAGACGTCCTTTAACCAGCTTCGTGATAATTTCCCTGAGAATTTGTTCATTCTCCTCGAAGCTCATCGCTTCTTACTGCGGCCTCTTTTGAAAATGTGCGTCATTTCTTCCATTCCGGGTCGGTTTCCTTCTCTCAAAGGTCAAGAAAATGGAATTTTTGTACCTATTTTTGTACCCCCCTTTAGAGGGATGTTTCAAGGATCTAACTACGTCAAGATGGTTTCATTCCTCCTAAGGGATAGAGGTCCGTTCGATAGAGAACGCGAGGCTTCAATTCCCGGTACGCATGAAATCTTGAATGCTCGCGCGACGCTCTTCCCTCATGGATCCCCCTCCCGCCTCACGGGCTCTCGTGCGTGCGCGTGATCGTGCGTGTCTGCGTGTGAGTGAGTGGCGAGGGAAGCAGGTCCCCCGGATGGAACATCTCTCGGCGCATCGCCCCTTTCATCCAGTTATTCATCGCCATTAGGCGATGAATGTAAACATGGGTCCGCATAAATACATCTTCCTACACGGTTGCCAATTTTTAGGGCATTTAAAAGCCGACAGGAAGCCAAAAAAATTCGCACACATCTAAGGAACAGGGCCATAGAACTGTAAAATGAATCGAAATTTTCCAAAGCAAGGAGCGGAGAGCTCAAACGACCAAAATACAAACAAATTAATAGGAAGGTAGGATGGAAGGTCTATTGTCCTAACAGAAACGCACCGTTTTGAATGAAGATTTCATGGGAACCCATGCGGAGATCGCGAATATAAATGTGCCCCTGTAATCCAGAGACTCGTCTTCATTTATTAATTCGAAACCATTTCACGATTTTTTCAAAGAAGGCGGGAAAAATACAGGAAAAACCCTTGAGTTTTGTTTTCTGCCTCTATTTTAGGCAGATTTCGTCACTTTCCTTCGAAATCCCTCTGTTCCAGGACCATGAGCTTTGGTATACAGTTCGATGAAGCGTTCTTCCAAATTTTCATGGAATGGCTGTCAGGAAGCTGTTGACAGTGGCGTAACTAGGGGGGGGGGGGCCACAGTCCAGAGGGTGGCAAAATAGCCTTTAAAAATAATTTATTTCAAAGAAGCAACATTTCGGTTTTTTTTCCATTTTGCCCATTTTGCCGCCCACTGGCAAAATTATATTGCCAGTAGGCGGCAAAAACTATTTTCGATTTTTTCTCGTTTGCCGCCCTCTGAACTGAGGCGGCAAACGCTTTCAGCAAAGTGAAGCTGATTAAGTCATACCTGTAATCTACAATGTCTCAATAAAGACTTACAAAAATTGCTATCCTGTCAATCGAACAATCCTGTCAAGTTGCTTCTTCCATTGATTTCAGCGAAGTTATTAAAGATTTTGCAGCCAGTAAATCAAAATGGGCTGAATTTTGATTGCAGTCGTTTGTTTGTATTCAATTGATTTTGATTACATTATTTGTGCTGAGAATCAGTCCTGAATAACATAAATATTTAATGAATCTCATTCTCCAGTAAAACGTAACAGTCACTCGCCCCGGGCGTCAAATTACCTAGTTACGCCACTGGCTGTTGATGGAGAAATTCTCAGTCATGGCGCCGTGGCGTCTCGAGAAGGCAACTGAGAAGCTGGTGTTTACATTTGTCATTTAAAGGATTACGTTTCAAAGAGGACGGGTGGAACTTTAACGTTTCTGCGACAGAGTTGGGGAGCTACAGTTTTTAAAAAAGGTAGGAAAAATCGTGACCTTTGACCGCAGATGCTGGCCGCGTGCGTGACCAGGGAAAGCCAGCAATTGGCTCCAAGGCCCATTCTCGAGGCCCCCCACGACAACTATTAAGTGAAATTTCCATCCAAGGGTATCTTTCTTTGGTGCCCTCATGACCGAGAGAAATGAGATCACGGACACGAACTGCCTCGATGAGATTCCACGCCCAATAGACACGAAAGTCCGGCGTATCGGAAACATCCCTCGCGGTCGGTACACGAGATGGAAGGACGACATTGCAAAGCAAGGTCGCTCGAGCCTCCAACTTTAGTCATGCTCTGCCTTTTCGAATTCCTGGAGACGGAATGGGCAGTCTTAAAAACGTATTGATGAGGTTTCTATGACCTTCTCCGTGCTTTTCCTCAAGATACGACGCGAAGGAAAAGGGTTTCTTTGTTCTTTCTCCAGGAAACTAAGGCTTGAGGCAGCTTTGGAGACGTCACTTTCTCCATATCGAAGAAATGTCAGCAACCTGACCTGGACGAAGAGAGAGGATCCTCCGGACGATGGGAAAAGAGCGCACAGCCTGCCAAAATCGCACACGATCCGAGGAAAGGCTCTTCCAACACCTCGAACTGATTCCCAGTCCGTCCCGTTTGAACCCTTTCCACTGTAGTGTGTCTCCTCATGGAGTGTCTCTTGATTCTTTCTCTCCGTCGTGTTATGGCGTACGCAACGGAGGAGCTTCTGGGCATAAAAAAAACATCGGCCGTGATTGACAATAATATAAACGAGGCGCAGAAGTCCTCGAGAAAATCGAGGGCTAAATAATATGGTAGAGAGAAGCGTCACATGGGAAGAGCTTGGTCGTACGGAGTGACCAAAATTTTCCCAGGAACCCGTGGCATGATAATTAACAGACAAGCTATCTTTCATGGGGGGGATGACTTTTTGTAAGCACTTGGATGGAATGCCATGTTACATGCGATGATTAAAATGTTTTCAAAGCATCATGTTAATCTCCCCAACGCATTAAAAACCGTATCCATTAAGTAATTAAGGAGGGAAAATATCAATAGGAAGGTGGTGCACCAAAGGAGACGATGAAATTCCATGATTTGAAATCAAATCATGAAAAAAAAATTTGACGAGCATGGGCAACGCAGCACTGTGGACAAAAGAGGGAATGCATAGGTTAAAAATTTATCCCGCGAGCAGGGAAAGTAGCATAGGGGCCCGGCATCAATGCCGGGCCCCTATGCTACTAGCCCAGCGGGACCCACACTCACTTCAAAGAGGGTCCTCTTGGGTTTTATTCTGTTCTAAAAGGCAAAATTACTAGAATACTCATGAAAAGCGCGTCTGCTCTCTCTCCTCGAGAACGAAGAGAGAAGCAGGAGAGTGAGTCACAATCTCTGCGAATAAGGGGAAACTTCAATCTGGAGAAATTAATGCACGGAAATTCCGGCTCAAGAATTACGACAGGAAGCAGGATACCATCGAGTAATGAGAGCGATCGAGCGATGGGTGCGATCGGTGAATCCCCGACGAAGCCGGAAAAAAACCCTGGCGTCTCGTGCATAGAGAGTGAATAAATGGAGGGGCCTCCGCTATGACGCGAGGCGTTGCACCCTTCCAGGCGCGGCCGCCATCTTACAGAAGTCGCACGAGCAAGGAGTTCATAGCAGACATATGGAGAGGGGGAGTGCAAAAGAGGCAACTTCCCCCGGGGACCTCCACGCCGGGACCCAACCAATCACGCTATTCATTTCCACGTGCGAGACCGTTCCAAGATGGCGGAAGCACTTGTAACCACTGGGCTAAGAAAAAGAACTGGAAATGGCGCACAATACAATGGATTTGGGGCAATTGGAAGCCATCTTAGTTGGGTCTGTGGTGGCTCTCCTCCATTCACTACAATGGGATTTTCATAATTTTCCATCCCAGTTTTCTTGCTGTCGTGATCATGATGGCAGGCAGTCATGGTACTGGAGGCCTAGTAATTCTCGGGGAGTATCATAGGGCTGATAACGTCATGTCGGAACTCTTCTTTCACGTGGGCGAGTCTCCTATTTCTCGAGTGGGCCTCCAAGTTCCAGGTCTGCCTTTGCTGAAATTGCTGGGCCTACTAAGGCGATAACGTTACGCCGCCCTTGCATCACCACAGTCGACATATTTCACAGCAAGTCTAAGGCATAAAGTTAAACGAACTTCGAGTGAACGTTCAAAGGTCAACATAGGCTAAAGGAACGAAGGGCGACCACGAGGTACATGGTAGAGGTGTTGGCGGGTATTGGCAGGGCATGCTGGAGTATTCAGAAGGGCTGCTCCAATGTTCCCGCGGTACCTGCTCCATTGCTCGGCCAATGTGCACCGCAGGCCCGCTTTAGCCTAGACCCAACCAATATGGCTTCAAAATGCCCCCGTTTTCCCTATACTACTCCTATAGGCGCGCCATCTCCAGTTCTATTTCTTAGCTCAGTGCTTGTAACTCCCGAGGCAGCAAAGGCCTCTCCAGAGACATCTATATACACTCTATGGTCTCGTGTGATTACGAGCATCCAGGCTTGAGTCGAATGGCAGCTGGATTAACACAGCCTAGGGAACCCATGCAATGCGCATGCGCAATAAAAATATGCATTTCACAGAACCAAATGTCTTGCATAGGAGCACCGCTTTCCTTCCGAGCTCTTGCGGCAGTATGTTACTCCCTCGCCCTCCACATCACTCATATCAGTCCATCGTTTACTTTTTTTTTAATAGACGAGAGAACTCAGGCTATAGAGGATTTCAAGCTAATCTGCATCGCTTTGAATTGCTTCAATTTCATGAAGCCTTTCTGATGCTTTCTTTAAAAAGAATGGGGAGAAGTAATGGCCGTAGGTTTCTTCTGCGTCACTATGCTTGGTAAAAGTCGCGCGAAGGGATTTTATTTGTCTTATTTTCCGTCAAATGCAAATCTGAACATCCGTGGACAATTTAAAAAGTTATCAGGGCCTCATTGAGACCGAGCTGACTTCGATTTCCCTTTTTTGCTTCTACATTACTCATTTAGGAACCTATCCGCTTAACTTCACATTGCAATCAATTTCCTCAACGTGTCCGTAATTCTGATCTTTTTTATATTGCTAGACTGCCGAGAAAAAAAAGAGTTGAAATGCGCTTGGAAAAGTAGATGATGTCACTCTGACACTCGCAATCGCTTTATTTTCAGCAAAAACTGTTGATCTTTGCATAGGGAAAAAATCCTCTTGAGCGAATGACTATGGGCTCCAAGGCTTCCCTCACCCTCACGCCCACGATCAAATTTACCTTACGAACAACCGATTCCAACTATGAATATAATTTTTTTCAAATCGGGAGAAAGAAAATTTCTTGGACGATAATATAAACGCTTCATCACGAAGTTTCCACGCCAGGAGCGAATCCGAGGTTTTCTGGAAACGGTATGACTAGAAAATAAAGAGCTTCATTTCCTCTATATTTCCGGAATTCACTTTTCCTCACTTTCGATGGCAGCTTTATTGCTAATACTTAATTATTAATTTTCCGGAATATTTCTTTTACGGCTATGCTTCCTTCGATTTAGATTTAATTGAAATGGTATGCTAGGCATCGTTCCTCCAGAAATTTTCATCCCAATCAGGAAAAAAAGGAAGTATTTTGTTGGGACTTGATCCAGATTTACCGGAGCCCTCATGCCTCAATTCACCTGATGGCTATGTATTGCCGACGAGACCCTCGAAAATCATGCGTCACCCCAGATCATTGAAAGGAACGTGCGCATGATCGAGCGAGCGAAACATCAGGTGTAATGGGAAAGTGATGGCGATTCCCCTCGCTTTCTGGCGCAATTTCGGCTAAATCTCCCGGCTAAGGGATTTCACTAAAACTTTCGTGAAACCAAGTTTTGCGAGGTGCCTTCAAAATATAAGGATGAAAAATCCTTTATTCAATATTAGTACACGAAAGAAACAACTGACTACATTGAGCCAGCTTGAGAAGCTAGAAAAACTGTTCAGCGTTGTTAGATTCACCGGTGAAAGGCCGATACCCAGAGACGTAGACATCTTGCATCGCGAAATGCCTTTCCAGCGAGAACTCCTGAATGGTTACGTCGAAATGATGCGTCGTGGAAGCTGTTGCGAATGATGCTGCAGATAGAACCGCCTTCAACTTTATTGAAGGTTCTTATCGACGTTCTGGATGAAAACAGGAAACTGGCGTTACCCGACTCCGACAGCCGGTTTTGCAAGTAAAGCAATTCTTCTGTCACCTTTTATTTTTCGTGCGCCGATTCGTGCGGAATTGAGTCATCATTCGGGCTTTCAAATTTTTAGAGCATTTCAATGCTTTTAATTTTAAACGAGACACAGGGTCTACAAAGGCTACTAACACCTCAAATTTGAAATGCACTCAATATTGAACAGTAATCCGAAAAAATTCGGAAAACTCAATTTACATAAATGCATGACCCGCAGTCTAAATAATACGCATATATGGAGAAATCGTGCCACTCCTTTGCGGAATACCGGCAATGCAGAGAAATGTAATTAATATCCCAGTGCATAAGGAAAAATGAAGTCTCAATACTCCCTTTTACCATTTGAAATCCTTTTTCCGTTTATTTTTCATCGTAAATAACCGGATACATTTTCAGAGCGGCTATTCTAACTTCGAAAACTTTGAAAGGAGGACATGAGGAAAATAGTAAATAAATAAATAAAAAACAAATTAATCAAACATCGAGTAGAAAGCTCAAAAGGAATACATGAATGAGCATGAAAAGGCATTTCCTTTTCCTGTCTCCTCGGGGTAAATTGGGGATATTGCCTTCGCAAGATGAATTACCGGTTCCAGATATGAAGAGAAAGCAGACTCACAAGAAGCTCTCACTTTATTGGATAATAGCATACAATATAGTGCCTTATTTACATCCCTCATCCCGGCTGAAAAAAAGACTCATTATAAACCTTTGAGTTCTTAAGAGATCTCACGAGCTTCTCATTTGTACGTTGTGAGAGCTCCTGAGTCCTTGGTTTAAAAATCTCATGATATTTCCACAGCAGGGTTATTCTGGTGTTTTCAAGGAACTGCATCACTTCAATAGAATATAAGTAATATATTTTCTCTATCTCACATCGAATTTCCTTTTTAGCACCGTTTGTATATATCTTTATTTAGAAATACCATTTGCTCCTAATCTCTTTAAATTTTCTTATTTGCTTTTGCGCATTCACAATCATTCAGATTGCGCTGTTCTTCACAGTTATTTTACTCGTTGTATCTTAGATTAAACTTTTTCGAATGGAATTTCAAATTAAATTCAAGGAAAATGTTTGAGAAGCTGGCCAGGTTGATTTTAGCCACTATATCCGTAGGGGCTCTGATTTTCGTCACTATTATTAGCATCGCGATTGTCAGGGTTGGGTTGAGCCTAGAACACCCAGATGAGCAGACTGATCATAACGATGACGAACACCATTCCGGTTCCCAAGGAAATCGCCATCCAGGGTCTGTTCAACAGGAAACATTTTTCCAATTGAATGCAAATAATTTTTAATAAGTTACTTGTCTTGTACACACTCTCCCAATTATTTGTGCCTGCACATGGAAATTTAAGTCTTCATTCTTATCTGTATACAAGGTGTAGGTGTTTTTTTTGTAATTCAACTTCTTTTAAATTTAAAGGAAATGAAATACTTGAGATCCATGATATCCTCTCTGAAACTCGTCAGACTTTTCATCTAAAAGTGAAAGTGAATGAGTTGAAGCCCTCTCATTTCTTCAATGAACTTCTAGGCTTCTTAGACAAGTTTCGTCCTGTTCGCATAACAAAATGGGACATCAGCGCGCTCAATGAGCAGAGGTGGGATGATCTTCTATTCTGCTCTATGGAAAAATGATCCCCAAAGTTGGTGGCATCATTTTCCATGACTGTAAAATGGCTTCTCATCAAGCTAGCCCTCGATGAAACTTAAAGAATAAAAATAATTAAGCCCTTTCACGCCCACGATGGTGTTCATCATGTAGTATTTTATAAAGTGAGGGAAAATGATTAATGACGAGCCTCGATTTGAGCACCCTCTGACGGCAATGACTCAACCAATTATTGAGGTGGTGCACTCGCTGACGAGAATCTTCCATTGGGATCTTCGACGATGACTTTTTTTTTATCAACACCTCTGAGAATCCAGTCATTTTTTCCTGCACCAATTCAAGACCAGTGCGCATGGAGGAGTTTGATCCCCAAACCATTTCATGAAGGCATCAGCTGAGGCTGCTGAGCTCTTCCAGTTCTAAAAAATGATGACACGAAGGTGATGGCGGATTAGGTCTATCATGAGGAAAATCGCTCTTCATCAGATTTTCCTACCTGCTTTCATTCTGAATGCTACAAGGTCACTAAGTGACAATTGATTAGGACGATACTTCTACGAGCAATCTAGACGTCCATCTAAACAATGAGAAGGCTTGAACCAATTCACCTTAAATTGCACGTGAGGACTCCAATAATTTCGGTATGATCCTCGTAGATTGCGCCGTACACGAACTGAATATCGTGAAGAGGCTGAGGACTAACATTTTTATAATTGAGTTGAAGAAACTAGTGAATTACCTCATCTTTTGCTGTTGCAACGCTGGGACAGGCGCGAAAGGAAATCCCTCATCTTGCCTTCCCGTGTTTGGTATCACCACATTAGTATCCTGGTGAGGATATTCCCTTCCTGCATGCCAAGGTGGCAATCATTAGAATAGGGGCGAAGTTGAGAAGGAGAAAAATAGTGGAGAATGGGGACTCACTGGGGCTGTGATCGGGGCGGGGATCGAGGCGGGGATAGAGGCGGACTGGAATGGGCAGGTTTTCCTGGATGGCGTCGAAGAATTCCTGATTGCTCTTCGTCGTCATGTCGAACAGGAGTTTGTTGATGGACTCCAATTTTCCCTCTCTCCGTTCGTTCTCGTCGTCGTCACTGGATTGGCCATTTTCATCGTCCTTGACGAAGTAGGAGGAGCTGTTCACGGCGAAATGCTTCTTGTATTTCAGTCCTGCCTCATTCACAGTTTCTAAGGCGGGGTGTTTTTTGCTGTCCGCGAATGTGCAAAACAAATAGGAGATATCCTGAATGCTCTTCTGCTCTTCGAATATATTGGCCATATTTCCCAATATATGTCTTTGCTCTGTCGTTAGTCTCGCCTGTTGAAGTAAACGAAAAGAATATAGCGACGGACGAAATTTGTACCGTCGCAAGGAAGTTGAAATGAAAAGCAGTTGGAGACGAAAATAATGCCCTACAAGTATACGTTTTCCGGATAATTATAATTTTGAGTGCTAATTCCTATTCTGTCTTCTCTGATATGCTTCCTTCCAGCTAATTCCATGATTTCGTTGGGATAGGGTGAAATCTTTGTTATCAGTCATGAATGACTACTGGTATTTCGTGCATGTGTAGGAAAATCTAAGTTGTATGTGTTCCTCCAGGACTTTAAATTCTGCAAGTATCCTTTCCTCCTAATTTTCCAAGGGAAAAATGTCTCTTTATATGCGGAATGCATAATGTATTCTCAACTACTCAACGACTCAATAGCCAAACTCGTTGCTTAGACGCTACTCCAATATGTCCATGTACCATCGCTGTTACGCGTGCTGCTTCGTTATCATGTTGAACTCACGTTCTAGCGTGGTGTTTTAGTTCCCATTTGTTTGAAATGAGACTCGTTGCAGGATTTCTGAGGCATCACCTAAAGGAATTGCTGAAATGTTGATAAATAACGTTGAATGAGTGTAAGGAGTTAATAATTAATAGTAATTTTTTTATTCGTTAAATACTGAACTTGAAGCGCTGAGTGTTACGTAGTGAACAGAGCAACAACATTGGGGCATTGTTGAACATCCAAACCCCATTGCTTGGGGTTGGATCCAACCCCCATTCATACTGGAAACCTGCTATCAGGATATTAATTCTTAGCACTCTGTAAATGCGCTGTCTTTCATTACGTATCATGAAATTTTAATTTCCTCATTGGTGACAAACTCAAATCGGTAGGCGGATCGGATTCCTTACCCTGCAGATGCCTACGGGCCACACCCAAGACACTTCACCGAAATTTCTGATGACAGTTAACCCAAGCGGAAATTTCCAGAACGGACGGCGGGCAATATTAATACCCTCCGCGGGCCTTATGTTTGATACTTCTGCTCTATGGCATCAAGATCCTTTGAGAATCTTGAAACCAATGGGGTTAGATATATTAAGATATATGGTAATTTTGAAAATATACAGGATGGGCCAGAAGAAAGCGAGAAGGTTTTAATACGAATAACTCCGGAACTTTTTTTGTTTAGGAAGTATGAGACAACCAATAAATTAAAGATGAAAAACGAAAGCGTCATTTACATGAGGTTATTTAAAACTTGTGGGCCATCATTTCTGAAGCACTCTTGCAGACGTTTAGGCAACCTTTGAAGTTCACCTGCGTACTCCGTCTTATGCCAATGAGGGACACAACACACGATCTTGCAAAGAAAAACTGGTAGCCTTTCTGGAGTAGCCCGAAAGACTCCATCTCTTCATAAAGTTGCTTTAAAAGCTTAGGAGCTCATTTCAGAGACTTTTCTCATTACCCTCAAAGATATAATGATTATATATTGAACATCAACACCTGATGCCTGATATTTCAAAAGTCCCATTCATTAGCAATCTTCTTTCCTGTGTGACATTTCGACGTGGGGCCAGTGCTGCCAGTCAAGAATTTACCAAAGCGCTCTATCAATGTTATGCATGGCGGCCCCACGCAAGGATTTTTACCTATCTGGAGCTTCTGTCCTCAGCTTACATCATCAAAATAAACTGTTCCTGGCGCAAATAATAGTACTAATAGATTCTGATTATCTCTAGACGTTCAGAATATAATGCAATCGTCGTAGGGTTGAGAAAAAAGGCAACCTGAGAGCTTTGGACAGCATATATGATGGCATGGATCCCGAGCGCGTGTTTGGATCGGATGTAAACACGAATGTCTTCCATCAACTTGCAGTCCTGCACGACCGTCCCTCTTTGGAAGCCAGGGGTATCGATGAAGGTGACAGGACGAGGGAACCTTTTTTCGTCTCTGGTGAAAAAGGTATGTGAAGTGATCTTCTCCGTGGGTTGGTCCACTTTCACCTGAAATCGATAGAGATCCAAAAGATCCACTCCCAGTCCGTAATTTGCCATCGCCTCCTGCAACATCGACTTCCCTACAATTGAGACGAGTGAAAGGATTTTCAAGCAAATTTCGCATCTTAATGCTGAAAGATGTGTAAAATGAGAAGCAACCTGATCCGGCCAAGCCGAGGAAGAGGACATTCAGGCATTGCTTGTCATCCTCATCTACGCCCAAGGAGTATCTACCATCCTGGATGGGCCGGAATGGGAGAGGGTATGTCGACGGGTTCTTTCCTTTTATCGCTTTGCTCGCTTTCCTCAATTCTTCGACCAATTTTCTTTTTTCAAGTGTCTCCTTCATTGTAAACCTATAAAAAATCACAGTTGAGGAATTGATCGTCCTCTAGTTCATATCTTACTCGTTGATATTCACTGAGAAATGCAGCACATCTTAATCTTATTACCAAGTTTGAAAGCCAAATTACATAAGAATCATGAATTAGATGGATATTGCAATTATGAATTTGATTCATCAGAGCAATAATTTCATCATGATTGGTCACTTAAAAAGGGAAAATACGATCGGTTCTTGATTACTTGCTGTTACTGGATTTGAGTTATCATTCGTGTAAGAAAGTCTCTTTTTTCAGGGAATGACAATTGAAAGTTAAAATGTCGGTTAGTCCATATTCCTGCCTGACGATGGGTGTGTGCAATTAGACCAGTGCTGACGAACTTTCTGTCGATTAATCTCAACCACGATAAAATGAGTGATCAATATTTGATAATTTCTCAATAGTCGGTTATTTGAATCACGTTCTGGTCAGTGAGTCCTTGCCACTGGCCGCTCAGTTTTCCTGATGCATGAAGGATACTTATTGTATTGAACATGTCATGATGAGGATGTCAGTGAGAGGCACGAAGGAATGTTCCGAGTTAGGTGGTGTAACGGAAGCGCACCTGACCGGTAATCAGGAGGCCCGGGTTCAATTCCCGATCGTCCCCTGGCTTTCTTTCGTCCTTTCCTCCATCCAGTCTTCCCTCCCGGCCATTCTCATGAGAAACAAGTGTCCACAGTTCGGTCTGAACATGAAACTGAAGGAATACCGCTGAGAGCACTATTTTCTTATTATTATCTCGGCGATGCTCCTGGATTTTCCTTGAGTAGTTTCAGCACTCGCTGGGGATGACTCGCAACCACGGAAACTCATTCGCCATTACTCTTTTCCTTTGGAAACCTTGTTTATTCGTGTAAAGGCCAGATGGCAGGGTTGCAGCTCAATCAGCTGGTAACCCATTATTTTGCCCATAGCTCCAAACCGTGTGCTCCAATTGCATCAAACCCAAGGACATATTAATATTTCTAGTTGATGTCTATTTAATGCATTGATCACGTCGGAAGCAGAGATGAGGAAATATTTTCTCCCATTGAAAATTTTGGTTTTTCGGGAAAATAAGGAAAATGGTATATCCGAGCAAGTTTTTTGGCATGAGAAAGGCAAATCCTTGTATGATGAAGAATCACATTGAATATTTTAGCTCTCTATGTTCAGCGGTCTGAATGCTAGAGCGCTAAGAGACACACAAGGTGAAGTACAATGGGAGTCTATGGTACTCAAAGCTTTTTCGTATGTCATGTTGACCTTAGTTCGATATCCTTCGTCTTATCTCACTCAGATTTAAAATGTACAGATAGCAACACAACATATCACAAACTAATCGAAACAGAGCAGAAGTATTGCGTTCACTACTTTCAAACTACAAACCGTGGAAGCCAGTATTGTGACTGACAGTCCGCGACACCAACCAGGGTCGGTTCCTCTATATCTCACTAGCAAAAAAAATTTATAGAAGAAATAAAGTAAACAGGAGTGGTTCAAATAGAACTTTCGTTTTGACTAATTTTTCCCCTCCATTCTTCTTGTGAGGGATTCTAGAGAGTGAATAACCCCCCTAATCAGGAGGGTCTACTTTTAATTTCCCACCAGAAAATCTAAACGTGCAAAAGTACTCCCACTTAACCCTATAAGTACCATGTCAATGAATTACACTCTTAGATCTCCTTCCAATGAGTGTGGTACAAAGTAAACTTTGACGTACTAGTCAGTACTTCATATCTGTATCTCAAAAACGGCAAGATCGATTTCAAAACCACTAGAGCATCAATAAGAGAATTTGAATATGAGCCAAAGCAAGAAGTGGCTCGTCTTATATTGGGCGCATTTTCATGCTAAATCGGGAAAAAAAATTAGTGCCATACAGCCCATATAAAGGTGTAGTTCAATTCCCTAAAACCAGGAGGCGAAGGTGTCCCGAGCGTTGAAGTTCAGTGAGTGGTGAAGTTTTCAGCATTATAAATTAGGCCCGACCCCTTCTCATTTCCTATTAGTCAGTCACGGAGGATGCCTTAGGTCTTGTTCCTCCCACCCTCCCCCGCACTTTTTTAAATTATTATTGTCGTTCACACTCCTTGGTGCACCTTGAATGATTGCGTCCAAGGGAAAATCGTGCCCCATACCTAGATTTCTTGCCTAATATTTATATGAACATTTGTAACGAATAATTGCAATTATGCTTTGATTTTTTGCCTATGCCATACCCACCCTCAATGCCTCTGAGTCGGCTTTGGTTCGATTCACTGCCCGACGTGGATATCAGAAGGCTGGGCATTTCCAGTGAATACAAATTTGGCAAATTAGTGAAATCGTTGCCTTTCCGTTACACTTGCAAGCTTCGATCGAGGCTACGAAATATGTTCGACCCCATGATAAATAAGAAATGGAGACCGGTTAGGTGGAAGGGGAAGCTTGGGGAAGTGAGCCATGCCCTTGGGCTATAGTCTACCGGCGTACGTCGTGTAAAGGTTTCCCTGCTCCCCCATAGCCCGAGGATATGAATGTCTTTCACACACGGACTGACAATGCAAGAAGCACATAAAGTTGAGAGGCGGGGAGACGCTATGCGACATCTATGCAACATCTAGTTAACATTTTCGCACTAGCTCAATTTTGAGGAAAATTAGGACCCCGAAATACCATGTTAATGAATTGCGCACGCCAAAAAAAAAAAACAGAACATCTTTTCTAAGTACGAGAAGGGCTTGGCAGCCTCTCTTTTGTTGAAGTTTTTTCATACCCGAATTTTGGTTGGTGTCGCGGACTGAATATTCATTCATTAGGTAACTACCGTGTTTAATGCGAACAGGGAAGTTCCCGATGCAGCGGTGCGACAAGAACTGCAGCCTCGTGTATTTACCCCAGATAAGAGCCAAGTGGATATGATTTACTTTTCTCTTGCAGTAACTGAAAAAGTTCATAGGTGACTGCTTAATTCACGTCTTAGCCTCATGAGGCAGAAGTAAACAATATCCATTCTTCTTAAGAAATAATTTAAAAACAATTTTTGTACTCCCTGGATAACCTTTTCTCTAGGTATCATTGAATAACTTCCACTTCAAGAAATACGGCAACATGAATTCGTAAATTCCATGAAATACATACCCGAATGAAGAGAGAAGAATTTCATGAATGGAGGCAGAGGAGAAGGGGGATGTATCTTATCACACGGCAATGCGCTTGTGACTTTCTGCGTCTCTCCAAACATGCCTTATTTTCTATCATATTGTTCCCTCCTCAACAAGGAGACTCAAGATAAAGTCGTGAGTCATTCCATATGAATTCAACTACAGTGCGAACGATCATCTCGGATTTCGCAAAAAAAAACCCTCAGCTATTGCAGTCAATCTAACGACTCCGAAAGAAAAGAATCGGCTCCGTTGAGTCTGCAGTTAGTGCAATATCGCCCCACAAATTCTGGGGGAAAACGGGAAAATCCCATGGACGTCAGCATTTTCATCTCAAGAACCGTTCATCTGCGGAGGCGTGCAATAGCTTTAATCGGAGTTCTTCGATAGATGAACAATTATCTTTATGCATCCTTGGAGTTTAAACGAGATTTCAGCATCATAGTTGAGTCCGAAAATGTGGAATTTAGGAAATTTTGACCGTGAAATATCCCTATGTGGGGGGGGGGTGGGGGGGGCAAATCTCTCGTTACGGTAAGTTGCACTCCACTTTGGGTTGCATGGAAAAGGCAAATGACTTGTTTGACTTTTTCCCGCTAAATTGAGAACAATATATCTTAAATTTGGAGTTTCTGCATTTTTTATCATCTTTATCCGAGTTTTTTTCGATGTGGTGGAGCACTTACGGTATCGTGGATAATGTCTCCAGAAAGGTGAACCCGAGATCAATCGAACGAAATATAACTTGCTGTGCCTTTTTTTGAAATAACAAAGGAAAAAATTTTTCCAAAAGAATACAGATTACAATACAAGGGATATTCCTAGAACTAACGGAACCCCGCTCCAATTGCGCGAAATGGCAATGCACCGATTTTCAGAGTTAACCACAAATACTTAATATCTTGTAGATATATGGTCAAAAGAAGTATGTTTTGAACTTCACTACAGAAGAGTACCTTTAGCAGTGGTGGTAACCTTTTTGTAACCTTTTTGGCTAAGGGGCCACATAGCTCACTGCCGCAGCCATCGCGGACCAGTTATCAGTATTGAAGGAGACTATTTTAAGGAAACCTAAGGGTATTTATTGTAGGTTAGGGCTTCGCGGGCCACTTGTAAGCACCTCGCGGGCCATTTTTTGCCCGCGGGCCGCGGGTTGGGCACCACTGACCTATAGAATTTCGGTCGTAATTTTTTTTTGAAGAACATGTAAATGTATGAGTTTTAGAAATTGACTATTAGAAAAAGGGTCCAGTACATTCCATTCAAAACCTCTGGAAACACGAGATTCATTGTATAGATGCCATCGCTGCCTGTGTTTCGCCTTTATCGGGGTCGAGGCTCTATCTTTAACTCGACGCTTTACATGCGCTGCGCTCTTGAAAAAGTTAAATATAACTGTCAGCGGAAAAAATAGGTTCAAGAAGGTACAATCCAGTTCGTTTGAATATTTGGTCATGTCGCTTATTGACTCTCATGGCTAAAGTCACGGGGCTTGGAATATGTCGCCGTTTGATCATGAGAGGCATCGTCAGGCATTCCTTTTTTCGGTTTCTGATAACCATGGCGATTATACCACGCTTTAAAGACAAATTCATGGGGAGAGGCTACCGATGAACTCCATTGCATAATTATTTTGCTCTTCATCATCCGTGACCACACGGTCGACCCTATAATACGTATTCTCGCATGCTCAAGTACACATATTTGCACTGCTCACGTTTTGAAGTGGATCACTGTATTCATCCTTTTAAAATTTTCTTTCAAGTAAACAACGAGTCTAACTCCTATCAAAACCTCGGCCAGAGTATTAGGTACATTTTGGATCATTATTTCGAACGTTGCTACAGATGGAGTAAGGGAACTTTGTCAAAATCTGCTTATTTGAATGACAGAGGAGACTCAGTCATCATATCCACGCATCTAGTATGTGTATTCAGCTTTCATGCGTTACTATTACTAAGAAGACCCGCCCGTCATCCATCGTTGACTGGATGACAACATGCACTTCGTTTAGTGTGGGGCAGGGAACACTTGAATTGGTAATATTGTAATAAATGTAAATAACTCCATAAATTTAAGTCTTTTGGACGAGTGGAGCAAGAAATGGCTCATAAGGTTTAATAAAAGCAAGTGTAAAGTTCTTCACGTCGGTCGAAACAACGGTAGTTCCTTGTTCGAAAAAGAGCGGGGATATCGTGCGAGGTTGTTGTGCAAACGACGTCATTACAGGAAGGCATACCGATCCGGGATCGGGTTCCCCCTCCCCACTCCTTCTTTGCTAAATTTAGTTGCCAAAACAGATCCGTCCTTTTTTTTCCCTTCTCCCCTCCGTCTTCCTGCGAATTTGTTACTTTCCGCCCCCTCCATTCTCACGCGTTCCCACGATCTCGACGACGGACCGTTCCCGTCCGATTTCGCCACCCCGTCGACTGCCGACTCCGAGGCTCCGCGTCGGAATTTCTCGCGGAAGCGCGCTCGGGTGTTTTCATCGCGGCCGGGAACACCTCGCGGATGTCCTCGCGGATGTTTGTGGAGCGTCTGGAATCCATCCGAGCGTGACCGACCGACGAGGAAGCTATTGCGGATCTCTCTCGCATGACGTCGTTTACGACGGGCTCGACACCGTGGAGATCGTCGAGAAATTCTAAAGGAAATCGTAACTCGCCCACGTACCCAGAGCAGTGCTTTGCAAGAAAAGCGACCGCGCCGGAACGGTAACGGACGGCCCGCTGCCTCCCGAGGCTAACTCGAACGATGGTTCTCGTTCGTCGTTTCGACTCGAACGACGACCGACTGGGACGGCCTCCCTTCGGAAGCTAACTAGAACGGTTTCGTGGCTTCCCGTCGGAGGCAAGAGGTTCGGCATGGCAAAAAAAAACAGTCCCCGGTCTCTGCCGTCTGGAATCCGGAACGGCGTCGTGATCGTCGACGACATTTATATCGAGGACGGTTTGTGGTATCGCTTTCGAGCGCGAAAAGGATCTAGACCTTGTTTTGTCGCCTGGAAAAATGAGTGGAAAGAAGCGGAAAAATCGGGAGTTCCGGGCATGCTCCACTTGTAAGTGCCCCGATTGTAAGTGCCCCGAGACGATCAAAAAGAGAAAAATGGAAGGTGAAGAAAGCTCATTAAGGGCGAGGGGAAGCGATCAAGGTGGATGACGATCGAGGAAGGCGGATGGCAGGGAAAGAAGGCGGATGACGATGCAGGAGTTCATTTCTCACGTGACCCGGTCATGACACCGGTCATGACACTTCCACACTCGAATCCCTCCATTTCCGTCCCCCTCCGAGGACTCATCGACCTTGTTCTTTCTGGGCCCGACTCATTTGTTTTGTTCTCGTGAACTGGGACCTGCCCGTCAATTATCTGGGATTTCCTCGCCGTGGGATCTCGTAGAAATGGAGAGTGTGGGAATCGCGGCATCGGACCCCAGGATCCCTCGAACGAACCCCCGCTCTACGGACGAATTCATTTGCAGAGAATGAAAAACGATCGGAGACGATCGTCCGGCCTTTCGGAAACGGGTGGGATCGGATCGTCGTGCAACGATGCCATTCCATTTCGTTCCGTGACTTGGGCATCGGCCGGGGCCGGTCCCATCGGGTCAACATTTACCTACGTGATGGAGCATTTCCTCCGGGTGGTGAAACCCGACACTTTGTCTTTCTTCTCTCGACTCCCACCCGAAATGTTGGAAGCAGGACCTCCGTCATGCCTCCACCTCGCCTCCACCGCGCCTCCGCCTCGCCTCCACCTCGTCACCACCTCGCCTCCATTCCTTTTCGAGTCGAACGGTGATCGGCGTTTTCAGCAGCGGAGTTAACTTAAATCTCCACCAAGTTCGGCTTTTGTCGACTGATTCGGCGAGCGGTTTCGACGGATGCGAAAACTGGAGACCGTTGCCTTTCGGTGGCCCATCTCGATCGTCGACCGGTATCCCATCGGCATTACATAAGGCCCGAAAACGCGATGAAAAACCTCAGTTCTGCTCACGACGGTATAGGATGTAACACCCACTCGTGACACGAGGCCGACGAGCCGAGAAAAGCCATGGGTTTCGGATTTCGTTTCGTTTCGGATGCATCTGGACCACTCGAGGACAGAGTGTAAATTCGCTGCATCACCTTCCGTTTCCGGAATGCCCCGGATGGAAGAAAAGCACTCGATCCCGTGCGAGTGTGACCGCAGGTGCGATACCGTACAAAACCGTCCTCGAAGGAAATCGGAAGGCCTTTACAATTATGAACCTTACACCCCCTTTACAATTATGAACCTTACATCCCCTTTACAATTATGAACCTTACATCCCCTTTACAATTACGAGCCTTACATCCCTCTGCGATTCCCGGCCCAGTTTGCCTCTTAACTATAAACCACACTCCAGTTGTAGATTGCTTTCGATGAGGCTGCCCGCATTCGCGAAGTGCACATCTCATGACTTTTTTGTAATCGTGTTTTTCTCCGGACAGTGTCGGAGGGGAGAAGCCAGGCGGAGGAAGCGGAGTGTCCGGATCCGGCCTGGATTCCAGTTCCGAATCCACGGACGGGGACCTGAAACCGACCGCCGACGAATTATCTTCCCATCTGCACGAGAATCTCGCCTCTTCCTCTCCCCAGGTATCTTTTGCTTTTTCGTTTCGGCCCCGTTCTCGAGCCTTCGGACCCAGATTCCAGCGGGATTCAAGGATCGCTCGTCGAAGAATGCATTCGCTCGAGAAACGAATCGGAATGGGCAAAAATGAATTAAATGTTAGGATGCTCCGTCCCGAGAGTAGAAGGGACCTCTTCCACTTCCCATAGGAAAAAACCTAAAAGCGTTCCTACGAATATTAAGAAATGCGAGGAATGCGATCTGTGGTCGCCATCGCGAAACGCGAGGAGAAGGGGGTGAGGGGGAAAGGGAGAATGGGGGGAATGGGGAAAAGGGGGGGGGAAGGGGGCCGGTCCCATTAGTACCTGGTACTCCGTCTCATTAAATACGGGGGGTTCGCAACCCCTTCCATTAGAAGGCGATTAAAGTCAATTATGTCGGAGTTGGAAGAACAAAGAGAGCGAGAGACGAATGATGTTAGAAATGACCCAGATCGACGACTCCACGGAAATTAATCGTGTCTCCCGAGGAACGCCGAGGGAAACTCTCGAGTCCATCCCGACCAAAAATCATGATCGAGCGAGCGAAACATCAGGTGTAATGGGAAAGTGATGGCGATTCCCCTCGCTTTCTGGCGCAATTTCGGCTAAATCTCCCGGCTAAGGGATTTCACTAAAACTTTCGTGAAACCAAGTTTGCGAGGTGCCTTCAAAATATAAGGATGAAAACTCCTTCATTCAAGATAAGTACACGGAAGAATCAACTGACTACATTGAGCCAGCTTGAGAAGCTAGAAAAACTGTTCAGCGTTGTTAGATTCACCGGTGAAAGGCTGATACCCAGAGACGTATACATCTTGCATCGCGAAATGCCTTTCCAGCGAGAACTCCTGAATGGTTACGTCGAAATGATGCGTCGTGGAAGCTGTTGCGAATGATGGTCCAGATAGAACCGCCTACAACTTTATCGAAGATTCTTGCATATTCTTCAGAGAGTGCGACGTTCTGGATCAAAAAGGGAAACTGGCGTTACCCGACTCCGACAGCCGGTTTTGCAAGAAAAGCAATTCTTCTGTCACCTTTTATTTTTCTTTCACCAACTCGTGCGGAATAGAGTCTGTATTCGGGCTTTCAAATTTTTAGAGCATTTCATTGCTTTTAATTTTAAAAGAAACGCAGGGTCTACAAAGGCTACTAACACCTCAAATTTGAAATGCACTCAATATTGAACAGAAATCCAAAAAACATTCGGAAAACTCAATTTACATAAATGCAAGACCCGCAGTCTAAATAATACGAATATATGGAGAAATCGTGCCACTCCTATGCGGAATACCGGCAATGCAGAGAAATGCAGCTAATATCCTAGTGAATAAGGAGAAATGAGGAGGGAACCGGGTTTGAATTGAATTGCTACTTACCAGGTGACGTTGTCATTGCCACCTGGTGTCTGCAGCAATTTGAATTCTGGCCTCAGTGATGCTCACGAAAACGATGGCATTGTGATTTTACATAGAAAGTATTAATAGCCTCACAAAAAGAGTGCTTTAAATGTGTTTTCACCTTTCAGCGCGAACTTGAAGGATTTAAAAACGCCTTCATAGGAATCTCTGAGCATGACATCTTTCTGGGCTTCCAGTACCTTTTTCAAGAGTTCAATGCATACCCGTGAAAGCACCGGTGATGGCTCGGAGTCTCAATGTTCTCTTTTACCATTTGAGATGCAGTACCGTTCCTTTTTTCATTGTAAATAACCGGATAAATTTTCAGAGCGGTTATTCCAACTTCGAGAACTTCGAAAGGAGGACATGGGGAAAATAAATAAATAAATGAATAAGCAAATTAATCAAACATCGAGTAGAAAGCTCAAAAGAAATACATGAATGAGGATGAAAAGGCATTCCCCTTTCCTGTATCCCGGGGAAAATTGGAAATATTGCCTTTCGCAAGATGAATTACCGATTCCAGATATGAAGAGAAACCAGACACACAAGCTTCCACTTTATTGGGTAACAGCATACAAGATAGTGCCTTATTTACAACTCTCAATTCGGCTGAAAAATTACTCATTATAAACGCATGTGTTCTCACGAGATCTCACGACTTTTTCATTGGTACGTTGTGAGAGCTTGTGAGACCTTAATTCGAAAACCTCTTGATGTTTTCACAGCAGGATGAGTCTCGTGTTTCCAAGGAACTGCATCAATAAAACAGAATATAAGTATTTTTTCCCCTCATACCAAAATTCATTTTTAACACCGTTGACCATATCTTTCTTTAGAAAGACCATTTGCTCCTAATCTCTTTAAATTTTATTATTTTATTTTGCGCATTCTCACTCATTCAGATTGCGCTGTCCTTTAGTTATTTTACTCGTCTTATCTTAGATTAAACTTTTTTGGAATGGACTTTTAAATTAAATTCAAGAAAATATTGGAGAAGCTGGCCAGATTGATATTAGCCGCTGTATCCGTTGTCGCACTGATTTTTGTCACGATTATTAGCGTCGCGACAATCAGGGTTGGGATGAGCTTAGAACACCCAGATGAGCAGACTGATAATAACGATGAGGACCACCACTCCGGTCCCGATCAAAATCGGCACCCAGGGTCTGTTCAACAGGAAACATTTTTCACTTTCAATTCAACTAATTTTTAATAAGTTACTTGACTTTTACTTCAACATTCTCTCAATTATTTGTATCTGCACATGAAATATAAGTCTTCATTCTCATCTGTATATAAGGTGGTATTTTAACAAATTCAAATTTCTTTAAATTTAAAGGAAAATTTAAAGGAAATGAAATACTTGAGATCCATGATATCCTCTCTGAAATTTGTCAGACTTTCCTTCTAAAAATGAAAGTGAATGAGTTGAAGCTCTCTCATTTCTTCAATGCACTTCTAGGTTACTTGAACAAGTTTCGTCCTGTTCTCATAACATAGTGGAACATCAGCGCACTCTAAAAGCAAGCAGGTGGGATGATCTCGTGAACATGAATTCTGCACTTCGCTAAACTGATCCCTTGACATGGTGGCATTATTTTCTAGGACTGTAATGAGGCTTCTCATCACGCTTTCTTTCCATGAAACTTTTGTTTAGCAAAAAAAGAATTAAGCCCTTTCACGCGCAGTGGTGTTCATCAGGTAGTGCTTTATCAAGTGAGGGGAAATGACAAGTCCCTATTTGAGCACCCTCTCACACCAATGATTAAACCAATTATTGACGTGGTGCACTTGCTAATGAGAATCTCCCATCTGGATCTTCGATGAGGGCATCTTCTTTATCATAAGCAGCTGTGAGAACTTAGTAATTTTTTCTGCACAAATTCCAAGGCATAGAGGAGTTTGATCCCCAAACCTTTTCATTAACGCATCAGCTGAGGCTGCTGAGCTCTTCCAGTTCTAAGAAATGATGACATGAAGGTGATGGTGGATTAGGTCTGTCATAAGGAGAATCGCTCATCAGATCTTCCTACCTGCTTCCACTCCAAACGCTTCAACGTCACTAATTGACCATTTGTTAGGACGATACTTCTGCGAACAATCTAGAATTTCATGGAAACAATGAGAAGGCTTGAACCAATTCACCCTAAATTGCACGTGAAGACTAATAATTTCGGCATGACCCTCGTACATTGCACCTTACACGAACTGATTATCTTGAAGAGGTTGAGAATACAACTTTTTTATAATCGAGCTGAAGAAACTAGTGAATCTACCTTTTATTTAGTGGCACAGGGGTGATAGGAGTTTGCTCGTTTTGCCCTCTCCCCTCTGGCATCGAGTCTATCACCATATACTGGGGGGGATTCACCAATCCTGCACGCCAAGGTGACAGTCATTGAAATAGGGCCGAAGTTGACAAAGACAGAAATATTGGAGAATGAGGACTCACTTAAGCGGGGATCGGGGCGGGGATTGGGGCGAACTTGAATGGGCCGGTTTAGCTGGATGTTGTCGAAGAATTCCTCATTGCTCTTCACCGTCATGTCGAACAGGAGTTTGTTGATGGACACTAATTTCCCCTCTTTCCGGTCTTTCTCGTCGTCATCACTGGAATCGCCATTTTCTTCGTCCTTGACGAAGTAGGAGGAACTGTTCACGGCGAAATGTTTCTTGTATTTCAGTCCTGCCTCATTTATGGCTTGTAAGGCGAGGGGGCATTTTTTGCTGTCCGCGAATGTGCAAAACAAATAGGAGATATCCTTGATATTCTCCTGCTCTTCGAATACATTGGCCATATATCCCAATACAACTTTCTGCTCGTTCGTTAGTCTCCCCTGTTGAAGTAAACAAAACGAATACAGCGTCAGGCGAAATCTGTATCGTCTCAAGGAACTCGAAATGCAGTAAGAGAAAAGTATAATGCTCTACAAGTATACGTTTTCAGGATAATTTTGAAGGCCAAATTCTATTCTGTCTCCTCTGACATGCTTCCGGCCAGCTGATTCGATGATGGCGTTGGGATAGGATGAATTCTTTGTTAAGAGTCAATAATGACTGCTGGTATTTCGTTTTATATGTAGGAATATCTAAATCGTATGTGTTCTTCCAGGACTTTAAATTCTACAAGTATCATGTCCTAATTGCCGAAGGGAAAAATGCCTATTTCTAAATAGAATCCATAGTGTAATCTCAACTACCCAAAGACTCAAAAGCCTAGCTAATTACTTAAACGCTGCTCCAATACGTCAATGTAGCACCGCTGTTACGCATGCTGTTACGTTATCATGTTGATCTGATGTTCTAGTGTGGCGTTCTAGTTAAAATTTGTTTGAAATGAGACTGGTTGCAGGATTTCTGAGATATCACCTAAGGAAATTTTTACTTTGTTGATAAATAACGTTGAATGAGTATAGGAAGTTAATAATAATAATTTTAATTTTAATAGTTAAATATTGAACTTCAAGCGTTGAGTGTTAAGTAGTGAACAGAGGATGATTCATACTGAAGACTTGTTATTAGGATATCGATTCCAAACACTCAGCAAATGCGCTGCCTTTCATTACGTATCATGAAATTGCAACTTCCTCCATGGCAAGGGTGTCAAGCACAAATCGGTCGATGGATCGCATTCCTTACCCAGCAGATGTCTGTACGCCACACCCAAGACATTTCGCCGAAATTTCTGAGGAGAGTTAACCCAAGCAGAAATTTCCAGAACGGAAGCTGGCAGGAGTAATCCCTCCGCAGGCCGTATGTTGCATACTTCTGCTCTATAGTATTCTTTGAGAATCTTGAAACAAATGGGTTGGATATATTAATATTTATTATTATTTTTAAAATATACGAGTGACTGGAACTTTTTTGAATAGGAAGAACGAGACAGCCAATAAATTAAAGATGAAAAACGAAAGCGTAATTTACATGAGGTTATTTAAAACTTGTGGGCCATCATTTCTGAAGCACTCTTGCAGACGTTTAGGCAACCTTTGAAGTTCACCTGCGTTCTCCGTCTTATGCCAATGAGGGACACAACACACGATCTTGCAAAGAAAAACTGGTAGCCTTTCTGGAGTAGCCGGAAAGACTCCATCTCTTCGAGAATTTGCTTTAAAAACATAGGAGCTCATTTCAGAGACTTTTCTCATTACCCTCGTAGACATACTGATTATATATTGAACGTCAGCACCTGATGCCTGATATTTCAAAAGTCCAACACATTAGCAATCTTCTTTCCGGTGTGACATTTCGACGTGGGGCCAATGCTGCCAGTCAAGAATTTATGAAAGCGCTCTATCAATGTTATGCATGGCGGCCCCACGCAAAGGGTTTTGCCTATCTGGATCTTCTGTCCTCAGCTTACATCATCAAAATAAACTGTTCCTGGGGCAAATAATAGTACTAATAGTTTCTGACTTTCCAGACGTTCAGAATAGAATGCAATCATTTCTAGGATTGAGAAAAAAGCAACCTGAGAGTGTTGGACAACGTAAATGATAGCATGGATCCCAAGCGCGTGTTTGGATCGGATGTAAACACGAATGTCTTCCATCAACTTGCAGTCCTGCAAGACAGTCCCTCTTTGGTAGCCAGGGGTATCGATGAATGTGACAGGACGAGGGAACCTTTTCTTGTCTCTGGTGAAAAAGGTATGTGAAGTGATCTTCTCCGTGGGTTCGTCCACTTTCACCTGAAATCGATAGGGATCCAAATAATCCATCCCCAGTCCGTAATTTGCCATCGCCTCTTGCAACATCGACTTCCCTGCAATTGAGACGAGTGAAAAGATTTTCAAGGCAAATTTCGTATCTTAATGCTGAAAGATGTGTAAAACGAGAAGCAACCTGATCCGGCCAAGCCGAGGAAGAGGACATTTAGGCATTGCTTGTCATCCTCATCTACGCCCAAGGAGTATCTACCATCCTGGATGGGCCGGAATTGGAGAGGGTATGTCGTCGGGTTCTTTCCTTCTATCGCGTTGCTCGCTTTCCTCAATTCTTCGACCAATTTTCTTTTTTCAAGTGTCTCATTCATTGTAAACCTATAAAAATCACAGTTGAGGAATTGATCGTCCTCTAGTTCATCTCATAGTAGTTGATATTCACAGAGAAATGCAGCACATCTTAATCTTATTACCGAGTTTGATAGCCAAATTACATAAGAAGCATGAATTAGATAGATATTGCAAGTATGAATTTGATTCATCAGAGCAATAGTTTCATCATGTTTGGTCATTTAAAAAGGGAAAATACGATCGGTTCTTGATTACTTGCTGTTACTGGATTTGAGTTATCATTCGTGTAAGAAAGTCCCTTTTCAGGGAATGACGATTGAAAGTTAAAATGTCGCTTAGTCCATATTCCTGCCTGACGATGGGTGTGTCCAATTAGACCAGTGCTGACGAACTTTCTGTCGATTAATCTCAACCACGATAAAATGAGTGATCGATATGTGATAATTTGTCAACAGTCGGTTATTTGAATCACGTTCTGGTCGGTGAGTCCTTGCCACTGGCTGCTCAGTTTTCCTGATGCATGAAGGAGACTTATGGTATTGAACATGCCATGATAAGGATGTCAATGAGAGGCAAGAAGGAATGTTCCGAGTTCGGTGGTGTAACGGAAGCACACCTGACCGGTAATCAGGAGGCCCGGGTTCACTTCCCAGCCGTCCCCTGGCTTTCTTTCGTCCTCTCCTCCATCCAGTCTTCCCTCCCGGCCATTCTCATGAGAAACAAGTGTCCACAGTTCGGTCTGAACATGAAACTGAAGAAATTAGTCAGGGTAAGAAGGAATTTCGCATTTTATGTATAACCATGACACCTAATGAGTTCCCAGCCAATAAATGAACATTCTGTCAGCGTTGTATGAACGTTAATTGTGAACCTTCCCACCGTTGTGGTAAGGCTGCATCTAACATGAAGTAAATATTTCAATGTCGCTTATCGCACATCTCGGATGAATGTTGAAGTTCAACTCAGAGCCAACATTGTCATGTCTCTTATTGGAACGCTCACCCCCACCCCAGTAGCACCCCAATTTTGGGTCAATAACGACGGGCAAAGAATATAGATATACTGAATGTACTATATTTGGTACATCCCACGGTAAACTCCACTCTTACATGCTCCAAGGAGTAGCCGCAAGTTCGAATCATCCTTTCCTTCCTCTAGGAAAAGTATGCCCATTTTGTGACAAGCTGAGAAAACGATGGACGGAGCTCACGTTCAAAGAAACATTTTAGAAACTTTTTCGGACGATATAAATGTAATCATGCAAAGGATTCCCATAAGGAACATGTACTTTTTCATCGCCTGGGTTCAATGATTCTGTCTTGAATATGGGGATAATAAATGATGAAGAGTCCGATGCGGGAAGACACCGATGCGAGGGGTATTCAGAGAGGAGGCGAGGGCGCAGATGCCCATGGTTACAAGCGACATTTTTCTCTCCGAATATTTATCCTTTTTCTTAGGAATCAAACTATGTCACTGGAAACGATGAACCGCATGCATAGCCAAGTTGTCAACGGGTAACCTTCCTTGCAGTCTATCTAAATAAAAAAGGACTCAGTTTTCAATTTCCCATCTGCTCAACGTAGAAACACAGGATCGGACTTCGATGGACAATCCCAGATCCACGTTAGATAGGTCTAATCAAGCCTACGTGAGTTCGCGTGGGGAATGATGAGAACCCGGACTTGGCATCCGTGGCTTGGAACATGGCGGGCTCCTTTCTCCGCCGCTCCACATGATAAAAGTTTACTTTTGCTGTCTTCAACATCCTTACTTGAGTGAACCATCGATGAGTGCTGTACTAGGACAATGGGCATATGCTTGACCCAGTGGAGAGTGGTAATAGGCCAGTTTCAGCACAGACCGACAAAATCTCGTGGGAGCAGAACAGATAGGCCTAGGCCTGGGCCTAAGGACAATGGTATCAATGCAGCAATCAAGATAGGATATCCCAGAGTACAACGTACTTCAAGCGAGCAGACCATAGTCCTGGAAGAACACAGGCTTCTAACACCGGTATGGATCTCGATCTTTGCATGGGGCCTATTTGCCTTTCTTCTTTCTGTCTGCATGACTACGTTCCCGAGAGGGAGGCCCCACGGTGAGGAAGAATGGGAACCAAGGCTCTTCAAGCTCTGCATACCAAGCTCGAACTACTACATTGAGATACCTAGCGACCTGGCTCCAGAGGATCTTCTGTGGATAACGCTGTCATCTCTCATGCAGTCAGGGGACATTGAACAGGACCAAATGTTCCTCAACAGTGGTTAGATGACATTACCAAACAGCTCAAAGAACTTAGCAGGTTACAGACCATTGAAGAGACTGTATGCGAAATCAAAAGTGTGATTCCAGCTCTACAGGAAAGAGTTGGGATATTAGAAGAAGAAGTCAAGAAGCTTAAGGGAGAAGCCTCACAAGAACTCTCACTGGGGAGAAGACTGCTACTGGCTCAGTAAAGAGATCGAGCCAAGGATCTAATCATCCGAGGGCTAAGGAAGACAACAGGAGAGACACGTGATCAGCTACAGCAGGAGGTGGCCTCCCTGGCATCACAAAAAGAAGGGGGAGCCAATGGGAACTTATCCGGGTGGGAAAATAGGAGAGAGAGATGGTTTGGCCTTCTAGATCTGGGGGTGACTGCAGTTCAAAGATTACGAGCTGCTACCTCCCCGCCTCCAGTGATGATCTCGTTTGCTTCCACACAACTGAAACAAGACTTTATACAAGCAGTGAAGCCCCATCTCCCCAAGGGTATCCGCCTGTCACCAGACTTACACCCGGATATTAGGCGGGTAAGGCGACTCCTGTCGCCCTTTTTTAAGCAAGCAAAAGACCTGGGCAAGACAGTCTCCATGCATAGAGACCTTCTAATGGTAGAATCAACCAAGTATAAATGGGATGAAGAATCTCTGCAACCTATGACAGTAGATGGTGGGCACCCCTGGGACATTGGAGAACAACCGGGACAAGCTTGGCAAAGACTGGAGAATGGGGAGGAGAAGGAGATTGTTGAGGAGACTCCAAACCCAGTGCAGGGGGCAAGATCAAGAGGATCCCACAACCTGGTGATCTCGCTTCCAACGGACTCAACTTCAAAAACAGCTGGAAAGGAAAACCCGGAAGACCGGGCACAGTCCGATGAAGAAGAGAGCCTGATGGAAGTAAGCAACCCCTCACCAGGAAGTGGAAGACGGGAAGGTCGTGATACCAGATCTCGAGCAAAGGTCCCTGAGAAACTACATCGGACCACGAAGAAGAAAGATCTACCTCAATATGGTTTTTTGTCGATGAGCCAGAGAGGGAAAGGAGGGACAAGGTGACCAAAAGTGGAAAGGGAGTAGATGACCTGGGAGACTTGCTACATCAATCTAGGTTAAGTACCTTCTGATGGTAGAATCAACCAAGTATAAATGGGACGAAGAATCTCTGCAACCTATGACAGTAGATGGTGGGCACCCCTGGGACATTGGAGAACAACCGGGACAAGCTTGGCAAAGACTGGAGAATGGGGAGGAGAAGGAAATCGTTGAGGAGACTCCAAACCCAGTGCAGGGGGCAAGAGGATCGCACAACCTGGTGATTTCGCTTCCAACGGACTCAACTTCAAAAACAGCTGGAAAGGAAAACCCGGAAGACCGGGCACGGTCCGACGAAGAAGAGAGCCTGATGGAAGTAAGCAACCCCTCACCAGGAAGTGGAAGACGGGAAGGTCGTGATACCAGATCTCGAGCAAAGGTCCCTGAGAAACTACATCGGACCACGAAGAAGAAAGATCTACCTCAATATGGTTTTTTGTCGATGAGCCAGAGAGGGAAAGGAGGGACAAGGTGACCAAAAGTGGAAAGGGAGTAGATGACCTGGGAGACTTGCTACATCAATCTAGGTTAAGATGTCATAAGTATTTCTTTTGGAATGTACAAGGTTTAAAAGAAAAATGGTCTCTGCCTGATGTTCGCGCGCACTTGAATAGGATGGAAGTATTTGGTCTGGTAGAAACATGGGTCCCTGATCATAAGGAATTAACCTTGGGCAACTATAGGCTTTTCAGTGCACCGGCGAAACGGATAAGGAAATCAGGATGAGCCATGGGAGGTATCCTGGTCGGGGTGAGGAAAGGTTTGGCAAACTATATTAAGAAATTGGAGTCACCTTCCGGTTTAGATACTGTGGTATGGATTCTATTGCAAGGCAGGAAAGATTCGACCTATTATCGGTAGACGATGGCGGGAGGGGCCCCTAGGGGGTACCTTCTGGTGCCAAAGAAACCTTTTAACCCTCTACTAAATGACAGAAAAGATCCCCTCATGTCTTTACGTTTTACCTACAATTACGGAGATTTTAACGTTCGTGTGGGAACTCTAACAGAGGAATGGTGGGTGCATGAAAAGGATGCCACAGAATATGGTGGCAGGGAATCAGCTGATGAAGTAATATCTGCAGAAGTGAGGGAACTACAGGCTTTCCTGGGAATATCAAGAGGTCTATTAGTTAATGGCAGATTCGGCTACGATTCTTCCCATTTTACATATGTGGGTAGCAGTGGAGCTAGTGTGATAGATCTCGCCATGATAGATGTTGACTGGTGGTATAGGATAGTGCACTTTCAGGTGGTAGACTTCGAGGTCTCTGATCACTTCCCAATTATCTTAGAGATGAGATCCCTGGAGGATAAGGAAGAACAGCCTAAGAATATTGCAAAGAAGTTACCGAGCTGCCAGTGGAATAGGTTTACAATGGAAAGAGTAGAAAGAGAAAGGAAGACCCCCTGGGTACAAAACTTATGGTCATATTGTACAAGGGCAACAGAAACCTCAACCTTGGCAGTTGAAAAAATAATACATCTGCTAAATTTTAGCCTGGCACATATGACTGGCGAATTGGGGCTGAGAGACAGCAAAAATGCGATGAAAAAGGAATCTTGTACCTGGTTTAATGATAGATGTAGGAAAGCAAGGAAATATACCAGATCGTGCCTGCAACGGTTTAAAAGAGATCCTTCTGTACATAATAGGCAGACACATTACTTCCGTTCCAGATGAATGTTTGTTCATTATTCCCTTCTTTTCCTTTTACTCTTGTAGCGTAAACATTCGTTCGATATACTTTACTACCGGTTTTTGTTTTGTTTCCTAAAGACCCAGCGTGACCGTAGACTTAACAAACCATATGCAGAAAATGAAATAGAACAAATTAGTGCCATCAGTTGGGTAAACCACTTCAAATCCCTGTTATTCCAAAGGGAGACCAATAACCCAGGTATGGCGTTCATTTATCGCACAGACGAATTCTTGGATGGCCCCTTTACTAAGAAAGAAGTGGCGGAAGCCATCCAAGCACTCAAACTAGGGAAAGCAGCCGGTCCTGATGCCTGGCCCAATGAGCTCTTGAAATATATTGCACCGGATTTGTTAGACTTGCTTACTGCAATAGTAAATCGTTGTCTGGAGGAGGGGCATTATCCAGATGAATGGAAGAGAGGGGTGCTTGTACCATTATTCAAAGGTAAGGGAAACCCCTTAGATACAAATAGCTATAGGGGCATCTCCTTGTTGTCCAGCTTCCATAAAATCCTTAGCAACATGATAGAGAAACGACTCAGGGAGTGGTTTGAAGGGCATGATTTCTTATCTCCCTTTCAGGGTGGCTTTAGATCAGGGGGAAGCACAATGAAGCAAGCTTTACTGCTGGAAACCCTTATAGCTAAATATGTAAAACTTGGCAAAGGAGCCTTGTTAGTGGCCTTTGTGGATTTTGAAAAAGCATTTGACACAGTAGACTGGACTCTCCTGTGGCAAAAGTTAGATTACTATGGAGTCAGTTCCAAATTTTTAAATCTGATCAGAGCAATGTATCAGAGCACACGATACTGTGTGCGTATCGACCGCAGATGGGCCTCAGAGGACTTCCATGCGAATATGGGGGTAAAACAAGGATGTACTTTATCACCACTTCTTTTCCTAATTTATATTAATGATATTCTCGGAGAATTAGCACACTGGGATGCCCA